AGTTAAAATTGATTAATGATTAATATTAATTGATAGTTAATATTTATTAATATAGTAATAATTATTTTATTTAATATTTAATTAATAATTAGTAATAATTAACATTTATTATTAATAGTAATAAATAATAATTAATATTAATTAGGTTTATTATTGAAAAAAGTCACAATAAGGGTTTGTTTGTTTATCTCTTAATAGTTCCATTAAGAGACAACATCTGAATCGTTAAAAGGTGAATCTTGTTTGACAAAAAAAAACTGTCTCTTAATGGTTTTAAAACCCTTCTAAACAATTTTGTATATTGGGCCTCCCTTAACCATTCATAATTTCATTGTAAACAATTATCAAACAATTATAATTCATTTTGCACTATATCATGAGAGCCTCTTAATTATCCTGACCACTTAATCATTCTGCACCAAATCATTCAGCAACTGCCAAACAGCCCCAAAGCTATCAAAATGCTACCCCAAACAACGTTTCAATAAGCTAGTTTATGTGCATCAAAACGTGCACCCGAAAAATAAGCTAGCTTATTTTTGTCAAACGATGTTTAAGCTACATAGAATTGCATTTAGCTCGACTTTTATCATTCGACAACTGGCAGTAAGAATGTCAAATGCCACACATAATGGCTAATTTAATCATTTTGCTCCATTTTTAATCTAATTTCATAACCAAGTAACGAATATGTAAAAAACGAGAATCACAAGTGATTCTAGTTTCATTTTGAGAACCTCTTGTGTGTATAAGAAGATGTAATCAGTTATGCTCGTCTTCTGATGATAGTACAATTATAGGAATGATTAGTTAGTTTGGTAACGACCGAATATCTTACAACATCAATGGTATATATAACACCTGTGGGTATGATTGTGTCGTGGATCATATTTAACGATAAATTAAAACCGATATCATTTCATGAGTGATAGTGAAAACAAAACAATCGTTTCCACTTGTGAAATAGTTTTGGTTAGTTGCATAGTGTTGTCAATTGCAATTGGTTCATCGTCACATGGAGAATATGTACAAAATAAAGTTTTGTTTATAATACTTATAGTTGAAGTTTTGTATATATGTGGTTCGAGTTAAGTTAGATACAAAATATATATATATATATATATATATA